GCAGTCGGTCCACCACTGAGGCCTACCAGATGGGTCATAAGCACTTCATCGAACCGAAGTTAATCAATGCCTCGCCACCTGCCATATATATATAAATGTATACAATCACGCCCATCTAGAGCTCTCTGTGTGTCTTCCTTTATCACCGAAATGTAACGGGTCCATTTAGGGGATGTCTCGCACAGGTAAAACCCGAGTTTGACTGAATTTTTTCGCGTCTGTGTATGAGTGACGGTCAGGAAGGATTAGCATGTTAAATTCTGCTGACAACCCAATTTACCGAACAGTATTAGACAGCGACAACTATGCAAAATGCGACACATGGAAGTGGCTTACGTTGACAAAGTCACCGCCTTGTACCATGAAGTCCTTGATAATTCGATGGAATGTGGAACCCTTGTAGCCTGTTGGAACGCCGTCCTTGCGATATTCGCCGGTGCAGAGTTGCCTAGATGTAAATAAGGTTTTAAAAGAGTTAGGAATCCTAGACGAATCTACCAGCTCTATGTCCGCATGCATCACCGGAAAGGAGTCCGTTAAAAAGTAGAAACCTGATAAAAGTCGGCAAAACTCCCGACATCCAGCCTACTAAGTAGAAAGTAATATAGTCAGAAGAGATTGACAGCTGATCTTCTCCACACTCAACTGAGTCGAAATCTGAGTTTACACTTGAACCAGACCAGCCGAAATATGGACGATTAGGTCTCAGATCTACATGAAAACGAAACACAGTCGTGTCCATTTTCACCAAAGAGGTCAAATCATATAAACTCGGCCTGGTCGTGAGATTCAGTGGTTGGCTAATTAATTGCATCAAGAGCTATTCAAATAGGCAGCAATGTGGGGAATTGGAACCAACCTAAAGTTTTCGGCTGTCTTTGGAACCACATCCGCAAACAGCTCAAACTGGATGCGGCCGATCTCCTGACCACCAATGGTAATGTCGAAGAAGACGACCGGATTTTTGGGGTTATTCATTCGCTCCGCGACCATGGGCAAAGGCACCGCCATTTCAAATCACCGACTGGGAAAAAAGGGCAAGTTTGAAGGGCTGGGATAGGCTGAGCGAGCATGTAAACTGAACACACAATTCGGGAACGAGGACACAGAAAGAAGGATAATGATTTATTAGGAACAAAAGTGACGCGGTTGTATCTTTACAAAGAGGATAAAATGCTGCGGGTGCGGTGCACGGTTAAACTTTTGTACAATATATTGTAGAGGGAAAGAGAAATATTAGCACATGATGTCTTTAGGGAGAACTGCGGTCTTGGAGTGTCAATCGGCAGGAGTCGAGGAGACGGGCCAGACAGGAGCCGGTAGGGATGTCCAGACAGCTACTAGATTGGGTCAGTAAAGGACTGAGCAGGTCAACAGCCCGCTGGGTGGGATAGGAGGTGAAGGAGGGCGGGCGCTGGGGTTCCCAGCGAGAAAGCCAGGCCGCGTCTATGGCGGTGACTTCCCCATTCTCTAAGGCCTCGCAGATGGCAGATGGGCGGGTGGGTAGGAGGCGGAGGAGGCTAAAAAGTTGCTCAGCAGAAAGGACCTGCTCGTCGGAGGGGCGGAGAAGAAGGAGGTTGCAGAGACGTTCTGCGCAGAGGGCCAGACCACGTTGAAAGTTGTTAATCGAACGGTTCTTCTGATTCCCGCTACCACCACCTCGTACAAGGTCCAACTGAACGCCGAGGAGAAGGACGTCGGTGCAGAGAACAGCGAGTCGGCGTTCAACGACAGGGCAGGATGTTTTTAAGCTGAGCGGTTGCGAAACAATACAAAATAAGAGGCCGGAAGTCTGGCAGCAAGAAAACTATTTATAAGTTGTGGCGATTATTTGTTCCCTAAGTAGTAGCAGTAGTAGAAGTAGTGGTAGTGGCGGCGGTGCTGGTGGTAGTAGTGGTAGTAGTAGTAGTAGTAGTAGTAGTAGTAGTAGTAGTAGTAGTAGTAGTAGTTCGCATGTTATATTTGTCAAGGAGGTGATGTTGAGGGCATAGATACTAGTGGTGGTGGT